AGGACATGTGGGAGGGGCTAAACCCAAATAAGGAAATGAGGGCAGGACTAAAACCCAAATAAGGGGATGTGGGATGGGCTAACCCCAAATAAGGGAATATGGGAGGGGCTAAAATCCAAATAATGGAAGGTGGGTGGGGCTAAAGCCCAAATAAGGAAATGTGGGAGGGCTGTCCCATGGGAGGGGACACCTTCCCCTATACCCTACTTTTATTCACCTTTTCTTGCCCAAAATAAACCCCACAGCAGCTCCAGCCACGGAAATGCCAGCCAAACACAGCAAAACTATTTTGCCTCTTCCTCCCAAATTCAATTTGAACGATTTGAAACATTTGGGGAGAAGGCTGTGACCTTGCTGCATTTGTAAATGAGCCAGAGAGGAGTAATGGATTACTTAAAGTCCCCTTCACACCTCCCGACACACAATGGGAAGCACTTCAGGCTCCTGCAGGAGCCTCCAGCGAGGTGATTTTTCATGCTGGAATTCAAACACCATTAGAAACACTCATTCTCTGGAAAATAATTCCAGCTTGGAAATAAAATAATACAAAAAAGAAAAAAATCAACAAAAACCAGCAGTGAGAGCAGGAGCCAGGCAGGATCTGAGCTCAGGAACTCTGTCACAGCATTGTCACACCGACTTAACAAGGCAGGGAGATGCCAAGCAATAAAAAGCCTTTTTGCATTTAGATGGATTTTTCCATGCTGATCTCCCAGCTCAGGGCAGGCTCCCGAGCCTCTGCTCGTGTGGGATTGGGATTGATCCTGCTCAGAATCCTCCAGGAAACCCCAGGATGGAATTTGGGAGAGATCCCTGCTTGGTTTGACCAGGTTATTTCATTTAACCCAACAATTCCCAAATAATTAGAATTATAAAATAATAATTAAACCAATAACCCAAATAATTCCCAAGAATTCCCTGGCTCTGCATGCCACCATTCCCAAAACACAGCATCCCAAAGAAACAGCAGGAAACCTGCAAAAAAAGCCCAGAGGAAGATTCTCCTCCTTGCTGCCCATTCTCTATTAATTTCTGGAGATCAGGGAAAGCTCTGGAGATCCAATATCCAACCCCACAGCATCCAATTCCAGCTGAATATTCCATTTATTTATCCCTGGCCCTCTCCAAGTTTTTCCTGGAGCTTTGCTGCTCACATGCAGCTCTTCCCTTCCAAGAAGTGAAGGTCAGAGAGGCTGGAAACCAACAAGGAACCTTTCCCATGGGATTAGGAATGAAGGAATTGTGGGATCATCCCACAATTTATCCCTCACTGCCCTTTATTGTCCCAAAAGGATTTTTATATCCAAAGCTTAGGACTGACCTTGATAATTCATTCTTTATATCCATTCTGTGGAGAACATTTTTTAGTCCGCAAAACTCCACAAAAGCAGGAAACTTCCAAGAGTTTCCAAATTGTTTGCTATTTCTACCAGAAGCACAAAACAGAAATAGATCTGACCCGAAAACTGGGATGTGGGGAATGCAAAATGACTTTATTCTCCTCTGACAGCAAATTTAAACCCTCAGTTTTAGCAAACCCAGCTTAAGGAACACAAATAACATCACCCCTCTAGAATCAGCACAAGAACAATTCAGTTATCCTGGAGAACATGCCCAAATTCCAAGTTTTTTAAAGTAAAAACTCCAAGCAGAGGGCACAAGGCTCCTCCAGCACTGAAGGGTCGAGGAACTGTAGCAAAAAGGGCTAATTATAAACTCATTTTTAAGGATTTGTGACCAATTAAACCTTTGCTCTGGTCTGCAATTTACTGTGGCACAAAACATCTCTGCAAACACGAGGTTGGGCTTTTTTTTTTTCTCTCCCCATTCTCTGCAGAAGAAACAGCAAAACAAATAAAAGGAGAAAAGAAATCACTTTGAAGCAATGAGATTAAAAATAATGGTCTCTCTTTAGGCATTTAAATACCTTTAAAATTAAACTGCTTTTAAACTCCACTTGCACAGCCTGGGAGTCCATAAAGTGTCACAAGAAAATAATTGTTGGAGCAGTTGGGGCAATTCCAGGACTCGTGTGGTGGCCATGTGGGAGATATTACCAAAAAAACTGTGAGAGGAGGAGCTGAGCACCTCCAGAAATCCCTCAGGAGGGGAAGATCCCTCTCTGGGACAGGGAATGGTGTCAGGATCTCTGCATCCACATCCTGACTTTTAGGATCAGGCCACAAAGGTCTGGAACAGGAGATAACACAAAGCTCTGCTTGATAAGAATTTTCCCTTTAAAAGGTTAAAGAGGTGATGTCAAAACCCTCTGGATTTTGTCCAGGGACAATGGAATCATCATTTCTGAGAGGAACTCGTGGATCTCACAGGGAAAAGTTTCTCTCCCACTGCCTCAGTCCTCTCCTCACCTTTGCCATGGGATGTTTCTATGGTCCATGTGCAGTTCAAGTTGTTGGGATAAAAATCAGGGAAGCCTGGGGAGAGGATGGTGCCACTGGAGCCACGGATGTAGCCCCCACAGAGAGCTAAAAACACAAAAAAACAGGAGAGAAAGAGTTCAATAATCCAGACTCTTTCACAAGCTAGGAGGAAAAAGTAAAAGCAAAACCCAACCCAGGAAAATCCAACAAACGAGAATGATCGACCCAAATCCAATCAACCCAAATGACAAAATCCAACAAAATCCATGGACAGACCCATCAAAATCCAACAAAATCCATGGATTAAACACCACTGGGAGCTCTCCAGCTGCTGCTTTGGCAATGGGTCTGCAGGTGGAAACACCATCCCTGTGGGACCCAACAAAAAGAGGAAAATCCAAAAGAGACTGATGAACCCAAATCCAATCAACCCAAATTGGGTTTTGTGGGTCAAAATCCAACAAAATACATGGACAGAGCCACCAAACCCCATGGATTAAGCACCACTGGGAGCTGTCCAGCTGCTGCTTTGGCAGTTGGTCTGCAGGGGAAGGGTTTCCAGGGTTTCCAGCAGCTGGAACCACCATCCCTGTGGGATCCAACCAAAAGAGGAAAATCCAACAAAATCCATGGACAGACCCACCAAAATCCAACAAAACCCATGGATTTAATGCCACAGGGAGCTCTCCAGCTGCTGCTTTGGCAGTGGTCTGCATGGGAAGGTTTCCAGCAGCTGGAACCACTGTGGGCTCCACCTCTGGATGTTCCCACCCTGTGAGCTCAGCTCTGCCTCCCAACCCCAAGAACATCCTGAAGCAGTTTCCTCACCCTCACAGCTGGGCAGGGGCCGGCTCCACTGGAAGTTGGGCTCACACTCCAGGGCCTCAGTGTCACTCAGGGTGTAGCCAGGGTCACAGCTGAATGTCACCAGGGCTCCCACGTAGAAATCGTTGCCGTGGCGCTGCCCGTTCACTGGGATGCCAGGGTCCAGGCAGTGGTCAGACTGCAGCTTCACAGCTGGGCACAGAAAACAGGGCACAGCACTCAGGTGGGCACTGAGGGGCTCAGGGGAAGCTCAGCCCACCCAGGGGACTGAGCCAAATGTTGGTGGTTGTCCCCAAGGTCAGAGGGTGGAAGGGAGAGAGGGAATTCCTCAAGGGAGGGGAGAGAGGGAAATCCCTGAAATGAGAGGATGGAGAGAGGGAAATCCTCAAAGTGAGAGGAGGAAAGGGAGAGAGGAAAATCACTGAAATGAGGGGATGGAGAGGGGGAAATCTTCAAAGTGAGAGAAGGAAAGGGAGAGAGGGAAATCCTCAAAGTAAGAGGATGGAGAGAGGGAAATCCCTGAAATGAGGGGATGGAGAGAGGAAAATCCTCAAAGTGAGATGAGGAAATGGAGAGAGGAAAATCTCTGAACTGAGGGGATGGAGAGAGGGAAATCCTTGAAATGAGGTGATGGAGAGAGGGAATTGCCTCAAAGGAGGGGAGGAAATGGAAAGAGAAAAATTCCAAAAGTGAGAGGATAAAGAGAGGGAAATCCTTCAAGTGAGAGGAGGAAATGGGGAAGAGGGAAATCCCAAAAGTGAGAGGATGGAGAGAGAGAATTGCCCTAAGGGAGGGAAGGAAATGGAGAGAGGAAAACCACCAAAGTGAGAAAATAAAGAGAAGGAAATCCTCAAAGTGAGAGGAAGAAATGGAGAGAGGGAAATCCTCAAAGTAAGGGGATGGAGAGAGGGAAATCCCTGAAATGAGGGGATGGAGAGAGGGAATTTCCCCAAGGGAGGAGAGGCCAAACCAGTCAGGGATGCCAGGAAAAGCAGAAACTGCTCCTCCACTGGCAACACCTGTGAGCTGCCTGGCACAGGGGAAACAAAACCCAGGGTGCCCTGAGGAGGCCGTGGTGCTGCTGAAGATTGGGAATTGCAGGGAATTGCTGGGAATTGCAGGGAATCCCATGAACAAGGGGTCCTTACTTTCATATCTGATCTGGAAGCCGATGTCAGAGTGGCTCTTGTCCGTGGTGAACAGGAGGTAGAGGTGGTTGCTGGTGCTGATCAGGAACTGGGGCACCTGGGTGCCATCATAGACCCCAATCAGGGGAGAGGAGTAGGAGCGGCCATCCCTCACCTCCAGGGTGTCGTAATTCACCTCTGTCTTGAACCTGGGAGGGACAGGAGGAAAATGAAACCCCAGCACTGCTCCCTTCTGCTCATTCCCTCCTGGAACCACCATGGGGACAGGGCTGGGTCCTTTCTTCTGCCTGAGTGTCTCACTGGGGGCACCTCACACAAAAATGCAGGGAATTCGGGGTCAGAGCAGGGAATTTGGGGGCAGAACCAGGGAATCTGGGAGCAGAGCCAGGGAATTTGGAGAATTTGGGGCAGAACCAGGGAATCTGGGGGCAGAGCAGGGAATTTGAGGGCAGAACCAGAGAATGTGGGGGCAGAGCAGGGAATTTGAGGGCAGAACCAGAGAATTTGGGGGCAGAGCAGGGAATTTGGGTTAAGAACCAGGGAATTTGGGGCTGCCCAAGGTGGTGAGCACCTGTCAAAGGTGATCTTGATGGGGTAGCCAGGCTGGGCCTCGATGACCCAGGCACAGCTCAGCGAGTCCTTGTAGAAGCCAGGCCAGCCTGGGGACAGGATGGTGCCACTGGGTGACGTCAGGTGGCCCCCACAGGGTGCTGGGGACACAAAAAGGACACAAATCCACACAATTATCCAGGCTGGAAAAGACCTTCAGGCTCATCCACCTCTAAACCAAATCCCTGAGTGCCACCTCTTTAAAATTGGGGTGAAAAATGTCACAGAGCTGTAGCCCCATGAGATGTCCCCACTTTTGAAACCCCGTCCCTGCATTTCTGTCCCCACCACGAGTTAAAAATCACCAGAGCCAGATGGAAAACCAACATTTACTGCTCAGAAATTGCAGTTTCAGCTCCAAGTGCAGACAGGGCCCCCCTGGGAGCCAGCAGGGCTGACCTTGGGCCCTGCTCAGGGTGTAAAATAATGATTGGATATAAAAGCAGAGGGAACTTCAAGGTCACTTGGCATTTCAGGTGGCAGAAAAATCCCTCCCAGCCCTGCTATTTGAGTCATGGCTTTGCTGCCACCAGGGATGTCACCAGAGCAGGGCATTAAATCCACCCCGTGGTCCCCAGTGCCACCAGCAGGAGCTGCAGGAACTTCTTGGCATTTTCTGGGAAAAAGACACAAGGTCTGAGAGACCAGAGGGACAAAAATCACATAAACTGTCAGGTTTGTCCTCTAAGGAGTCACCCAGGGCCAGCCCCAATGTCACCGTGCCCCTGTGCCAGCCCCAATGTCACCGTGTCCTTGTGCCACCCCAAAATGTGCCAGCCCCAATGTCACCGTGCCACCCCAAAATGTGCCAGCCCAAAATGTGCCAATCCCAATGTCACCGTGCCCCTGTGCCACCCCAAAATGTGCCAATCCCAATGTCCCTGAGCCACCCCAAAATGTGCCAGCCCCAATGTCACCATGTCACTGTGCCACCCCAAAATGTGCCAGCTCCAGTGTCACTGTGCCACCCCAAAATGTGCCAATCCCAATGTCCCTGAGCCACCCCAAAATGTGCCAGCCCCAATGTCACCATGTCACTGTGCCACCCCAAAATGTGCCAGCTCCAGTGTCACTGTGCCACCCCAAAATGTGCCAATCCCAATGTCCCTGTGCCACCCCAAAATGTGCCAATCCCAATGTCACCGTGTCCCTGTGCCACCCCAAAATGTGCCAGCCCCAATGTCACCATGCCCCTGTGCCACCCCAAAATATGACAATCTCAATGTCACAGTGCCACCCCAAAATGTGCCAACCCCAATGTCACCATGTCACTGTGCCATCCCAAAATGTGCCAATCCCAATGCCACTGTGTCCTTGTGCCATGCCAAAATGTGCCAGCCCCAATGTCACCATGCCCCTCTGCCACCCCAAAATGTTCCAGTCCCAATGCCAATGTGCATGACCCCATGCCCTTGTACCACCTCAAAATGTGCCAATCCCATCCCCAAATCTCCCCTGCTGCTCTCAAGGGTGACAGATCAAAGTCACTTGATCTCAGCTGGCTCCAAAGCAATTATTTTTCCTTTCTGCCCCAAAGCTGTGCTTGGTCTCCTGTCAGAATTTCCACCCTTTTCTCTGTCTCCTTCATTCCCATTAATTTATTTTTCAGGATTTTAGATCTCTGAGCTTTTCTCCTTGCTTAAAAAGGGTAATTAAAAGGTCCAGACTGAAGGGTGAGTCAAAGAACTCACCAGAGTGATCAGGAGGAGAAGGCAGAAGGTTATCACATATAAAAGTTGATTAGAAGTGTATTATTTAATGAATGTTTCCCTTCCACACTTAAAAAAATGTAAATTTCAAGGCTTGTGCTTTGAAAGGAACAGGAGGCCTGAATTAAACCTACATTTTGACAGGAGCAAAATTATTTAAGAATACAAAAATGTCCAGCTTTTTATTCTATAAAAGCTGTTGAAAACAATTGATTCCTTCCTTCAATCCCAAAGACAATGGCCAGGACTGTGCAATTCCTGCTGCTCAGGCAAGGCAGGGCCAATTACTCCAATTATTTCTCAATATTCCAGAGCTGCTTCTCAAGAGTTCAGCACTTGTTATTCAAATTGCTGCAAATACCAGAGCAGAGCATCACTTCCCTGAGAACACAGGGCACAGGAAGATTTTCAGTCCTAATGAGCTCCTTCTTCACTTCTTTTTTCCAGAGCAGAGGCTTGAAAGTCTTAAAAAAGCTTTGAAATCTGAATTAAAGCCTTTAATTCAGCCCAGCTCCCCCCTTGGCAGGGTTGGCTGTTGTGGCCAGGAGATGGAAATGCAGAATTTTTGTCTCTCAGCTGCCAGAGCCCATTGAGAGAACTTCCGTCATGACACAAATATCAGATATTTTACATGGATCAAACACCAGGATGGGAAAACATCACCCTGGATCTTCCATTCCTTTTTGTTTCATTCCCTCCCTGACAGGAGCAGCAGGGAAGCTTTGAGGCATCACCAAACCAGAACCTTTTATTATTATTATTATTGTTATTAGAAAAATACCTGCTGTAACAAGAACTGATCATCAAATCATCAAAAAACCACAATAAAAAATATTCCCCAGCATTCATTCCACACCAAAAAAATTGGAAAATAAACAGAGCTCAGGAATATTTGAACTGAAACTTCCTCCCCAGCAAACTCCTCCTTCCAGAGGGGTGGAAAATTCTGGAAGGTGTTGGCTGGACACTGTGGAATGTGAGAGTGAGACCCGACAGGCAGAACCTTGATTCTGGACCCCAAAAGGCTGCAAAATTCCCCCCAGAAATATCTTTCCCTGAAGGAATGTTCACCTGGAGAGGAGAAGAGGAGGAGAGGAGGAGGAGGAAATGGGGAAAACCCCCTAAATTCCATAAGAATTAAAAATTAAAAGGGAGGGTTGTACATTAGAGGGGAATCTTTGGGATCAGGTGTTCTGGGAAGTCTGAATTTCTCAAGTACCTCAGAAATGGGGAAAAACCCTAAATTCCCTAAGAATTAAAATTAAAAGGGAGGGTTGTACATTAGAGGGGAATCTTTGGGAAGTCTGAACCTCTCAAGTACCTCAGAAATGGGGAAAGAGAGAAGGGAAATGCAGCTGGGAAACTGGGATAAAAAGGAGGCTGCATCCTTTAAAAATTGGAGAGATCCCAAGGGAATGCCCCATGGCCTCTCCCTTGATTGGAATAAAGTTCCAGGACTCCTCTGTCTCCTTTTGGCCATAAACCTCTATAGTTGTGGATGGATTTTCCTAACAACACCCATGGGAAGAGCTGAGATGGGTTCTTCAGCACCCCAAACCACCCCATGGGCAGCAGGCAGAAGCTAGGGCTGACCATCACAGCGCAGAAAAATTAATGGGAAAAACCGTTAAATTCCATAAGAATTAAGAATTCAAAGGGAGGTTTGTACATTAGAGGGAAATCTTTGGGATCAGGTGTTCTGGGAAGTCTGAACCTCTCAAGTACCTCAGAAATGGGGAAAAACTCCTAAATCCCCTAAGAATTAAATATCAAAAGCAAGAGTCGTATATTAGAGGGGAATCTTTGGTATCAGGCGTACCTCAAGTACCTCAGAAATGGGGAAAAACCCCTAAATTCTGGAAGAATTAGAAATTAGAAGGGAGGGTTGTACATTAGAGGGAAATCTCTGGGATCAGGTGTTCTGGGAAGTCTGAACTTCTCAAGTACCTCAGAAATGGGGAAAGAGAGAAGGGAAATGCAGCTGGGAAATTGGGATAAAAAGGAGGCTGCGTCCTCCAAAACTTTGAGTGGAATGCCCCATGGCCTCTGCCTTGATTGGAATAAAGTTCCAGGACTCCTGTGTCTCCTTTTTGGCCACAAACCTCTGGTGTTTGTGGATGAATTTTCCTAACAACACCCACGGGAAGAGCTGAGATGGGATCTTTACCACCCCAAACCACCCCAAACCACCCCAAACCACCCCAAACTACCCCATGGGCAGCAGGCAGGCGCTGGGGCTTACCTTCGCAGCGCAGCACGGCGTTGTCCCACACCACGCTGCCCTCCTGCAGCACGCAGGTGACGCTCTCGGCACCGTGGGTGCGGATGAAGCCCTCGTCACACAGGAAGGACACGGAGCTGCCCAGCTGCAGGCTGTCCCCAAAGCGCTTCCCGTTCACCGGCACGCCGGGGTCTGGGCACTCGTTGTGCCGGAACGCTGCCAGCAGCAGGAGAGAAACAGAAAACAGGAGAATCAGCAACTTTTTGTACTGTCCCCCCGACCCTGTCCCCAAAATGAGGGTGTTGCACCCTCAAATTGAGAAAAATTGAATTTTTCCCCTTCCCAGTGCCAGGAGGAGGAGGAGATGCCCAGATAATAATAATAAATATAGAATATTTAATAAAAAATTAATATAAGATATAATCTAAATAATAAAAATATAAGATATATAATATATAATAATCAAGCAATAACTAATATATATTAATTAATATGAAAGATAAGATTATATATTATATAATATAGGATCATAAAGTAATTATTAATATATAAGACATAATCATAAAGTAATTATACAATATATAATCATAAAATAATATAACCATAAGTAATGAAAGTACAATTAATATATAATATATAATCATAAAGTTAGCCTTCTGACAAGATGGCTAACTTTATGATTCTATATAATATATATATTATACAATATCTTTCTATATATATAATATATATAATATAGAAATTTCATATATGTATATATGATATGTATATGTATATATTATATATACATATACATATATACATATACATATTTACATATACACACACATATATACACACACACATATATATATATACACACACATATATACATATATATGTATACACATATATACATATATATATATATATATAATATGCACCATCCCTCCCCACCACACAAACCCAACACACACTCACTGGTGAAGGTGATGTTGAACCCTCTCTTCTCCATGGAGTGGTCAGTCTGGAACTCCAGCCTGGCCACGTGGCCACTGCTGGTCAGCGAGGAGGGGATGTGGCTCCCTGAGAAGGTGCCCAGCACGGGGGACTCGGCCGTGGCACCGTCCTTGACAGCCAGGAAATCAAACTGGGGCTCCACGTCGAAGTCGTTGAAGGCCAGGTGGATGCGGCTCTCGGGGTTGGCGATGATCAGCCACACGCAGTGCAGGCTGCTCCCGTACTCCTCGGAGTAGTTGGGCGACAGCACGGTCCCCGACGGGCTGGTGAAGTTGAAAAAGCAGGAAACTGCAAAGGGAAAGTGGCATCAGTCCCCACAGCTGGCCCTGCCCTCAGCCTCCTCACTGGGATATTCACAGTTCCTGCTCTGAGGCTGCCTCAGGAGGGAAAATGTGATTTCAGGCTGCCAGAGCCCACTGACAGAAATTCTGTCATCACAGAAATATCAGCATTTCATGTGCATCAAAAACCAGGAGGGGAAAACACCACCCTGGATCTTCCATTAGTTCCCTTCCATTTGTTCTTTATTTCCCTCCCTCACAGGAGCAGCAGGGAAGCATTTGGTCACCACTGAATCAGAATATTTTGGTTATCAGTAAATCAGAATCTTTTGGTCATCACTGAATCCAAATCTTTTGGTCACCACTAAATCAGAACCTTTTGGTCATCAGTAAATCAGAATCTTTTGGTCACTACTAAATTCAAATATTTTGGTCACCACTGAATCAGAATCTCTTGGTCATCACTAAATCCAAATATTTTGGTCACAACTAAATTAAAATATTTGGGTCACCACCGAATCCCAATCTTCTGGTCACCACTGAATCTAAATCTTTGGGTCACCACTAAATCGGAATATTTTATTCAGGATTTTAGGTGGATTTGCCATTTTCCAGTCCCTTCCAGTTCTATTTAACAGCAGGAAGAAAATGCCTCTTAGGTGGGATTTGGCATTTTCCTGGTGAATTCTCTCAGGAAAACTCCCAAAAATCCAGTGGGTGACTTGAGCTGGTGCAAAATAAAACCAGCATGGAACCAGCCAGATTTTGCCTCAACATTATTTTTTTTTTTTTTGCTGTGGCCACATCCCAGCACAATCCCACAGAACTTGGGAGCAAGGAACCAGCTCAGCCACTCTGGGCACTGCTCCAGCCTCCGCTGCTGCTGTCCCTGGCTCAGCTCTGTCACCCACAGGTGACACATCCATCCCCAGGGTGCTGCAGGCTCCTCGGGGGTTTGCTCACAATAAAATCTGCCCTTTCCATCTGCTGAGCTCGTTTTTCCCCCCTCTGCATTCATCAAACTCCTTCCGTGCACACCAGGGAGTATTTGTGGGACAAATGGAGTGCTTGGAGAAGGAGCTGGGAGTTAATTTGCTCTGTCTGCGCCCTTGGGAAGTTGTTCACACCTGGCTGAGCACTGGGAGAGGTGGAACAGCCCAAGAACATTCCCAAATGCTGAGGTTTGGGACAAACCAGAGGAATCTGCAGCTCTGGTGGAGGGGAAGCTCTTCCCACCACAAATAAACCCCTGATTTCTGCTGGTTCCCAAAAAGCCACGGAAATAATTAAAACCATGTTTAAAATGAAGCTGAGGGGCAGAACATGCATGAAAAACCCTTCAAGCTCTCCAGGGGTTCAATCCATCCCAAGCTGCAGCTGCCAAGGCCCATTAATTCGGGAAGGCAAGGCTGCCTTTGGAGTGCAACCTGCCCAAACTTTGGGATATTTTATGTACGGATGCTTTGCTCATCCCTTTTCCCCACCGCCACCCGTGGTAAAACCCATTATTGGGAACATCCATCTCCCTAATTCCTGGCACAGAGGATGAGCTTGGCTTGGGGTTGGCGTTTAGACAATTATTTGGATCAGTGCTCTGCCTCCCTCTGTTATTTTCCCTCTGTCTCCCCTCACCACTTAATGGGCTGGGATCAAACAATTCGGACGTTCCTGTGACGTTATCAAGGTCACGGAGCTGCACAATCCATTCCCTGCTCTCAAAGCCACAAAGAGAGCAGATTAAAGGGAAAACAAACTGCAAAACATCCTCAGGATTTTTTTTCTGGGCTCTCTCTCTACCAGATGCTGAAATATCAGGGGATGCTGTCAAATAATTCTGTCAGCATAAGCACGGTGTAATCTGCCTGAGGAAAATTGAAAATAAATTCATTTGCACCCAGGGAAATGTCTCAGCAGCAGGGATGAGGTGTCTCCTCTAAATTTTTAAATCCAAAGGGGTGAATTAGCATTCAGCCAGGACCTCCAGCAGCCCAGCAAGAGAGAGGTGCAGTCGCTAGTTCAGAAAATAAAACAACAAAGGACTTGCTGACAAAGGGGAGAGGAGCAGAGCGAGGGAAGAATATAAAATTAACCTTTGCCAGATAAAACAAAGTGACAGATTAAAGAGGAGCTGATAAAAAAAAAAAAAACACAAAACCCTCCAAGAGTCTCCACTGCAGGGAAGTAAATGAGGATTTTGATTTTCCATAAGATCAGTGAGGAGAAATGCGAGTTGGAGCTGGAGGGCCAAGCTGTGGCCAGGAAAAAGCTCCCCTTGATGGAGAGGGGAGCTGGAATCACATCCCAGAGGGGAACATCCAGCCCAGGGAGCCACAGGGTTCATGAACAACACCACGGAGGCTGTGAGATGATGATTTTCTTCATCTGGTGAGGCAGAGGAGGTTTTCCCTCACTTGGAAGGAGGTTTCCCTCACTATGGAAGGAAGTTTTACCTCACTGTGGAAAGAGGTTTTCCCTCTCTGTGGAAGGTTTTCCTTCACTGCAGAAGGAGGGTTTTCTTCTATGTGGAAGATTTTTCTTCACTGTGGAAGGAAGTTTTTCCTCTCTCTGGAAGGAGATTTTTGGTCTCTGTGGAAGATTTTTCTTCACTGTAGAAGGATGTTTTCCTTGCCATAAAAGGAGATTTTTTTTCTCCCTAGAAGGAGATTTTTCCTTATCATGGAAGGAGGTTCTCCTTCTCTGTGCAAGGTTTTCCCTCACTGCGGAAGGAGATTTTTCCTCTCTGTGAAAGGAGATTTTTCTTCTCTCTGGAAGGAGATTTTTCCTCACTATGGAAGGTGATTTTTCCTTATGTGGAAGGAGGTTTTCCTTCTCTGTGGAAGGAGATTTTTCCTTACTATGGAAGAAGGTTTTTCTTCTCTGTGGAAGATTTTTCTTCACTGTGGAATGAAATTTTTCCTCTCTCTGGAAGGAGATTTTTCCTTACCATGGAAGGAGATTTTCCCTCTTTGTAGAAGATTTTTCTTCACTTGGAAGAAGGTTTTCCATTGCTGTGGAAGAAGGTTTTTCCTTGCTGTGGAAGATTTTTCTTCTCTGTGCAAGGCTTTTCTTCACTATGGAAGGAGTTTTTCCCTCACTTGGAAGGGGGTTTTTCTTCTCTGTGGAAGGAAATTTTTCCTCTCTCTGGAAGGAGATTTTTCCTTACCATGGAAGGAGGTTTTCCATCTCTGTGGAAGATTTTTCTTCACTGTGGATGGAGGTTTTCCATTGCCATGGAATAAGGTTTTTCCTTGCTGTGGAAGGAGATTTTTTTCTCTCTCTGGAAGGAGATTTTTCATTACCATGGAAGAAGGTTTTCCTTCTCTGTGGAAGATTTTTCATCACTATGGAAGGAGGTTTTCCCTCACTTGGAAGGAAATTTTTCCTTACTATGGAAGGAGGTTTTTCTTCTATGTGGAAGATTTTTCTTCACTTGAAAGGAGTTTTTCCCTCACTTGGAAGGAGGTTTCAGCTCTGCCCCTCCAGCCTCCCTGCAGCTGCACACTGGGACAAACCAGGAGCTGTTTAACAGCGTGTCACAGGCAGGGCCAGGCTGTCAGGAGGAAGAGGATGGAGACAGCCCAGCTGCACCTGGAGCATCCCAAAGAGCCCTGAGCAGCAGGAGCCATCCCCAACATGACAGAGGCCAGCCCTGCTGCCTGCAGCTGCCCATCAGCAGCCCTGGCTGCAATTAATATTCATTACCCTTGTTAAATGCCAGCAGAGGCCATTTCATTATGTGCACAGCACAGGGGCCTGTTTACAAAGCTGCCTGTGTCAATAATTTTTTTTTTATTTGTCGATAATTGCTACATTTGCCAATAATCCTTATTGCTGACCAATTACTGCAAAGGCAATGAGAAAAATCCCTTTATTAAATACAGAATAAATCACAGCAGACACAGAGCAGCGAGACCACGGCATGAATGAACCAGCACAGGGATTTGTTCACGTTATCACAAGCAGCACCAGGATTCTGCTTGGTTTAGAGCAGTGAAACAAGGAAGGAGCAGCTCCTTGGTTCTTTTTTTGGGAGAGAGATATGGATGTGAACATGGAGCAGGCAGGAGAAATTCCTGCAATTCTCTCTTTTCTCTTCTCTCTTCTCTTTTCTCTCTTCTGTTTTCTTTTCTCTTTTCTCTCTTCTCGCTTCTCTTTTTCTCTCTTCTCTTTCTCTTCTCTCTCTTCTCTTTTCTCTCTTTCTCTTTTCTCCCTTTGCTTTCCTTTCTCTTTTCTCTCTTCTCTTTCTCTTTTCTCTCTTTCTCTTTCCTCTCTTTTCCCTTTTACTCTCCCTTCCCAGATCCCACCTCTCTCCTCCTGTTCCTGCCTCCATCCCTGCTCATCCTTCAGGAGAACCCAGGGCTGATCCCAAAGTGAGGTCACACCACAGGAGCAGGGTCAGGAGCTGAAAACCAAGCAAGGAATCCTTGGAACAACTGCAGTTTCCATGGAAACAATCCAAAATTCTTGACTTTCCTCTCAGTTTTTAGATCCTGCTCCCACAGACCTCTTGGGAGAGAGCTGGGAGACAGGAGTGGATTTTCTGCTTTGCATTTCAATTTTTTTTCCAAAAATTCCTCCTTGGTGATGGGCTGGGAAAGCAGGACAGTGCTGGAAGCTCAGGGCACTGCTCCAGCTGGGCAGCGAAGTTCTTCACATTTTGTATTTTCCTCTTTCTGTATCTGTTATTCCAAGGGCAAAAAAAAGATAAAAATCTGCATCTCATGGTGCCTTTTCCTCCTAAAAACCTTGTGGCACCTCAGGGCAGGTGGGAGGTGAGGGAAGGAGTTTGGAGCAAAATTAACCGGGAGGGTTTTGTCATTTCAGAGCAACAAAACTCAGCTCAGTCTGGGGGTGGGACTGCAGGTATGAGGAGAAGAATGAAAACCAGGCAGGTTTTGGGAAGCAAATCTTGAGGAAAATATCACAGAATTTAAAATAGATGTGCAGAGAAGAGCAGGTTTCACTGCCACCCACTCCAGCAGGAGCAGGGCCTGGCTTTGGGAAGGA